AGTGGGGAAAAGGTATCAGTTTGAAGATAACTTTTTTTTCTTATAACTTTTCTTTTTTTAGGTTTGGCAGTAAGTGGGCATGAAACTAACACAGGCTGAGTTTTGCCCCAATGCTGAACTTGAAGTGGCTGCTGCCATCTTGCTACCACCTCTAGCAATTTTTCATTTTTATTTATTTTTAATGATTTTTTTTAATTTAGTGTGCATTGGTGTCTTGTCTGCATGCATGTCTGTGTGAGGGTGTCAACTCAACTTCACAGCAGCATCAGAGTGTCTTCTCCACCTCGCTGAGGCAGAATTTTGAAGGTGACTAGACTGTTTAAGTTACATGGGTCTCAGCCTGCTCCTGGCCGACTGGTTGTTTTTATGACCCTGGACTTCCTTCCGTAGCCAGCTGCTGCAGACCTTTGGACAGGTGTTCTCTGATAAGCATACGTGTGGGTGGAAAACGCGTTATCTTAGTGGCAGGGAGAAGCCCATCTCTGTATTTGCTTAGTTCTCAAAAACTCCACGCTGGAGAGACGGCTCAGTGAGTAAAGGTGCTCGCCCCAAGCCTGATGGCCTGAGCTCCATCCCTGGAACCCAGCATGAGGGTGGGGAGAATGATTCCACAAAGCTGGTTTCTCTCCCTCCCACCACACACACAGGGGAGGGGCAGAGAGAGGATTAAAAAGAGAATAAATCTTTAAGAAAACAAATCATCAAGGCTGGGATTGTAGGGCAGTGGTAGAGTGTTTGCCTAGCATGCGTGGAGCCCTTCACTGGTCTGCGGCACCTGCAGCGGCCTGAGGGACAACTGTGCAGCGGGCAGTGAAAGGCGGTCAAGTCGGAAAAGCCTGCCGCTGCTGTAGGAAAAGCCTGCCGCTGCTGTAGGAAAAAAGCGCTCCTGTAGTGCGGCAGCAGCGCAGTCTGAGCACCTCGTCAGGGGAGAGTGAGGGGAGAGTTCTGAGCCTGCTGGGCAGGACACAGACGTGGAAGGACGGGCATGATGGAGTGGCATGTGCGTCTGCATCTCCCTGGCTTCCTCCACAGCCGAGGCTCCATGGTGTGCGTCTGTCCCTTCCTCCCCAGGTTGTACAAGTGCTTTTCTGGTCACTTTTATTGTTGTTGTTTTGTTGTTTTAGACAAAGTCTCACTCTGTAGACCAGGCTGGCCTTGAACTCACAGAGGCCCGCCTGCCTCTGCCTCCTGAGTGCTGGGATTACAGGCGTGGCTGTAAACTTCTTTGGGTTCCTTTCCTGAGGCCTTTCAGCTCCTGCTGAAGTAAAGACTTCTTTCTCTTCCCTTCCAGCTCTCCACCCAACTGCACATGTCTCTGATTTATTGTCCTCGCTGCTTCTGTTTCACCAATTCCTCCAGTCTCTGGTTCAGCAAGTGCGCATTGTACCAGGCTGCGGGCGGGCCACTTGTTGAACAAGACAATCCCTGCCTTCAAGTGCAGTCTAGTGGGAGCCAGAGGTGTAAACAGGTCATTGAAACACCAGTGTGTGCTAAGTGCTCCCACACAAGTGTGCACAGGGTTGCAGGAGATGAGCCCGAGGAGGAACAGGAACCGTGGTAGAAGACAAGCCTCAGAGGAGCCGGTTGTAAAGAACTTTACAGTCAGAAAAGAGATTTTTAGGAGCCAACATCACAGTCTTCACATGCTTATGGCCACTCTTGTTTCTTCCGGGTCTCCTTAATGTCTTTGCTCAATTCTAAATCTAACAGAGCTCATTGGCATGGCAGCATTAGACTCTCTTGATTGACCCTTTCAAAACCTGAGACAATCAGTGTTGATGGATGTCCAGCTGCCGAATCCAAGTTTGTCCCAGATTATTTACTGACCATGAGTGATGGAGACTGTGAGTATGGAAGAAAGCCCTTTAGAGGCCAGTCACTAGCAGGGATGGCTGTTGGCAGTGCCCCACCCCTACACCAGAGGAGGTTGTGAGTGGGAAGGAACTGAGTGGTCTCTTACTTTACAGTGAAAACAGTTTCCTGTTTGCAGTGAAGGTTTCCTGTGTAGCAGGATCCTCTTCCTCTGTTCACTGTGCGAATTCTTTGAGCTTACCTGAATTCTTGAATTGGCCAATGGGAAGAGTCTTGGTTTTTGGTTTTGACTTTTACTGTTTTATTAGAGAAGTGGATGAATCTTGTGATTTAGTTTGCACAGTTCAGTGTGTACTTCAAATGAAAATTTAAAATTTCTTGAAATAATGGGTTTGTTGTAGAAGATTAGGACATGAAACTGCTGCGTTAGTTTGAGGCAGAGCACTGGCAGTGTGCATGAGGCCCTGGGGTCCAGTCCCAGCTCTGCAGAGATGAACACAGAAGAGAGACAGTCACAGTTTCAGTATACACATGTGTGCTTAAAGACATTGTTGTTCCAACAGTTGACTACACTGTGCAAAGTGTAATACAGCTTGTTCTTTTCCCATTAGATAATTTGGCTGTTTCATACTAGCAAATATACATATATGGTTGTTCCTGTTTTTGTCATTTAAAAAATGGTGTGTGTGTGTGTGTGTGTGTGTGTGTGTGTGTGCGCGCGCGCGCGCAGGTCAGAGGGCAGCATGCGGGTGTTTGTCCTCCTCCTGTGAGCACCAGGGATTGAATTGGGGTCATCAGTTTGACAGCAGGTGCTTTATCCCCTGAGCTATCTCACTAGTCCTCACTCCATCTTCAAAATATAAATAAATCAAGATTTTAAAATTCTGTGTCTGTGTGGGTGTGCACACATGTGTGCACATACCCCAGGGGCATAGGATTCCCCTGGAGCTGGAGTTACATGCATATGGATTTTGAGAGCTCTACAGTTATCTACAAGAGTAGAAAACTTAATGATTGAGCTGTCTCTCCAGCCCGCCTCATTCTTTATTAGTGGAAAAAAGATTTGTTTGTTTTTGAGATGGGAACTTGATATATAGCCCTTGCCAGCTTAAAACTCAGCAAGTAGATCAGGCTGGCTTTGAACTTGCAGTAATCCTCTACCTCTGCCTCCCAGTACTTAGATGATAGGTGTGCACTGCTGTATCTGGCTTATGGGGGAAATGAGATGGTATAAATCAAAATCCTGTCCATTGCAGAGTATACCAGTTGTCTAGAGAGGCCTGTGTTGTGTGGCTGTCCTGTTCATTGCAGAGTATACCAGTTGTCTAGAGAGGCCTGTTCATGCAGAGTATACCAGTTGTCTAGAGAGGCCTGTGTTGTGTGGCTGTCCTGTCCATGCGTGTGTACCAGTCGCTTGTTCCCACGTGCTCACAGCTTCTCATTCTCCACCTGAGACAAAAACGCCCCACCTCCACCTCAGGGCCTCGCTGCTGCTGACTGAAAGTCACTGAGAAGCAGCTGGCTTGTTTGCAGGTTTCTCACCACAAGAATGGGGCACTCTTTCCCTGTTTTTTTTTTGTTTGTACACATATAAATACAATATTGGATACATTCATAGAAGTGAAGTTGTTAAATCAGAATTTTTATAGAAGTTGTCAGATAACTTAGAAAATGTAACTTAGTTTTATCAGTATCCTGATCATTCCAAATCCATGGTTTTGAATTCTAGGTCTGTATGCACCCTGTTGATGGGCATCTCCGTGTGTCCCACAGACACGCACGATTCAGCTCCTGTGTCTTTGTCCCGTCAGAAATGTAGCTACTATTTCACTGTCAGCAGGTATTCATCTGGTTGCTAAGGAATCTAACCCAGTCTTCCTCCTCTCTCGTGGCTCATCCTCACATTCTCTCTAATCCATTTGTTTCTTTTCAAACCTTTATCCCTGTAGTGGGCTGGGGCAGCTAGCCTTGCTGTCGGTCTTCAGGAAGCTTCCTTCCCCTCCCCATTTGTCCAGTCTAGTACACTGACGCTAGCCAGCTGCAGCAGACGTGCATCACCCTGGATTTCAGCTTTCTGTCATCAATCTCTCCCTCATCCGTTGGTGTATAAACAGTAAATGTTAAAAACACGAATGCTTAGAGCCACGTGTGGTGGTGCCCATCTAGTATGTGAGCACTCAGGAGGCTGAGGCAGGAAGATTGTGAATTTGAAGCTAGCCCATGTCATATAGCAAGCGTCTGTCTCAAAGTTGAAAACAACCCAGGGCTGGAGAGAATGCTCTGTGGTTAGGAGCTCTGGCTATGCAACATGGGAACTGGGGTCCTATCCTGATGCTCATTCCTGTAAATGCCCAGAGCCTTCGGGATCCAACAGCTTCCTGGCTTCTGTGTGCACACACGAATAAAATATAAGTCTTTAGAAAAATACTAGAAAGTTGTATGCTCAAATTACCTTTTATGCTACTTAAAGACTTCTTTCTGTTTTTATGCATTGAGTTATATGTAAAACTTCATTTTAAATAAATCTTTCTCTGATTAAAAAATTCACTGTATTAATTTTTTTAGAAAACTCTCTTGTGCTGTGTGTTTTCACTACCTGTATTTCTTGCCACAGCTTTTAAGCATTTATCTTCCCTGGAATGCCTTTGGGGCCTGTGTGGTCCCTCTCCCTCTCAGCCTGCTCACTGCCCATCCTCCTGTTCTTTGGAGTGCAAGCAGTATTTGTATTTATCAGCTCCTTCTATTGTATCTGTATGTGTGTGTACTTCATTTGTATGTTTTATTTAACCTTGTAGAAAAGAACAACCATGTATATAAATAACAAATTAGTGAACCAAGGAGAGGGTGTGTGGGAGTTCCAGCCGCAGGTTCCGACCCAAGTGTTAGCAGAAGGGCCTTGTAAATCCCCTTTTGCATGTCAGGTGCCTGTGTGCCATTCCATTTGGAGTGAGGGTGCTGAGGGATGCCAGGAGTCTCTGTCACTGTACGTAGCAAGGTGCTGTGCAAGGCTGACGAGGGACAAGCCTGTGGGAAGTCACATTTTACAAAGGCTTGTCAAAGAACCAGAGGTTTTAAACTCCATTCTGTATGTGGGACTCTGCAGCACTCTGTAATTAATTTTCTTTTTACAGAGAACAACCACAAAATAAGGAGAATGCATAACCTATTTCTGTTTCTTGCTGTTTTAGGGGACATCACCCAGAAAGGATATGAAAAGAAGAGGGCCAGACTCCTATCTCCGTACAGCCCACAGACCCAAGGTGAGAAGTGCTTTCAGTATTCTTATGCCAAAGACATACTGTCGTAGGAGATGGCTGTCATCTGTTTGCCCTGCCTCCGCCTTCTCGTGAGGGAAGAGAAACAGGCAGGAGCAGAGGAAAGCTTCTCAGCTGGGCACTTTAAAGACACCTGAGGTCACTACATAATTTGCCTAGTGTAGTGCAAATTCTAATTGGTCTTAATAATGAAAACCCAGAGTCAGATATCAGGGTGAAGGCTGAAAGATCAGAGAAGCAGAGCAGCAGCCACTAGAGACTTCTTACCTCTAGAAAGGGCCAAGCTCCTGTCTCTACCCCGCCTTATCACTTCCTCTCTCCGCCCAGCCATATCACTTCCTGTTTCCTCCTCCCAAGTGCTGGGATTAAAGGTGTGTGCCACCACTGCCTGGCCTCTAGTGGCTACTAGCTCTGAACTCTGATCTCCAGGCAAGCTTTGTTTTGTTAGAGCACAAACAAAATATCACCACGGCTTAGAGTTTGGATGGTGGGGTGTGAGTGACTGAGACGATTCAATGACAGGAAATTCCAGGCTGTGGAAAACTGCATTTTATATATGCACACATACGGATGTATGTGTATATAAAAGCAGTTTGAGCAGATGCAGATTTTGGTAGTGATAGAGAAGGACACGGAAAGCAAGGCAGGGAGAGAAGACAGATGCCTATTACAGGGTGTGCCACTGCTGGGGGACAGAAGATGTGGAGGCACGACCCCAAACTCCTGAGGTCAGTCTTCCTCGTTTCTACTTCTGTAAGAAACTGCCAGGTTCCTTACCATCAGAAAGTTCAGAGCCCCTTTGAGCTTCCCTCCGGCTGCCTGTCCTTGCCTCCGAGGTGTCAGATGTCTGTCTGTATATTATGGTCGGAGAGCAGCTGGTGGGAGCTGGTGCCCTCCTTCCTGAGGGTTGAACTCGGCTGTCAGTGTGGATGGCGAGCGCTTTCACTTGGCGGCCGTCATGCCATCCCAGCATCAGGTTTATATTTGATTTTTCCAAAGCAGTTTACTCATTCAGTCATTCTGTGTGCATGAATGTTTTGTGTGCTTGAGTGTGTGTGCACCACCACATGTGCCTGGTGCCCAGGGAAGTCAGCAGAGGGCTTCAGATCCCCTGAGTTACAAACTCTTGCGAGCCACCATGTGGGTGCTGGAAATCACATCCAGGTCCTCTGTAAGAGTGCAAGATCCACATGCTCCCTTAGCCTCAGATCCAGCCCTCCAGCCCCAAGAGGTGGTTGTTGTTTTTTTTTTTTTTAAGTCAAGGACTCACTAAGTGGCCTTGGCTGGCCTGGGCACCACCACTACTACTACTACTACTACTACTACTACTACTACTACTACTACTTCTTCTTCTTCTTCTTCTTCTTCTTCTTCTTCTTCTTCTTCTTCTTCTTCTTCTTCTTCTTCTTCTTCTTCTTCTTCTTTTTCCTTCTCCTTCTCCTTCTCCTTCTCCTTCTCCTTCTCCTTCTCCTTCTCCTTCTTCTTCTTCTTTTGTAAAGAAATTTTGTTCATTTTACATACCAACCACCCATTCCCCTCAGCATTTCTTTTGATAGCTAGGTGCTGCCTTAATCATAATTACTAAAAACATTTTTTATTTTTAATTTCCCTTTATAATCAAAATCTGTTTCTGTAAGTCTGTTCTTTATAAAGCCAATTGCTCAGTTATAAATACCATGAAGTTTTGTCTCTCTCATGTCAGACTAAATGTGGCACAGGGTTTGTGAATATTTGTTGAATGAATAATAGAATAAATAAACATTTTCTTCATTGTCCCACAGCATCTGCAGGGAGCTGGTTCTAGGATCCCTTGTAGTTACCAAATCTGCATCTGCTCAAGGTTCTCCCAGAAAATGCCGTATTCCTTCTGTTTGTGTCTGACTGTAATCTGTACACATCTTGCCATATGTTTTCAATCATCTCTCGCTTACTTCTGATGCTGACCATGATGTGCGTGCTGGCTAAATCGTTGCTGTACCGTGTTGCTTAGAGTCATGGCAGGAGGGAAGAGTCTGCACATATTTGTGCGGACAGCCTCTTCCCCAAAATATTTGCCGTCCAAGTCTAGATGAATCCATGGATGTGGAATGTACAGAAACAGAGGCCCAATGGTACTCTTCCTACAAAAGCTAGTCGATTTAAAAATAACTTATGAACAGATGGGTGTAGAAATAAATTGAGAGAGAAGAGTAGGAATTGATCAATGGCAGCTAATGAAAAGCCATCGTTTGCTCTGATGTATGATGGAGTAGGAAGGTGGGAATGTTATTGTGATTTGTTATTTAGTTGAGAACCTGGCCTATAACCTGAAAGCCCAGAAACCTAACAATAGAAAGAGAGACTGGGGAGCAGCTCAGTGGACAGAGTGCTTGGCATTCAAGCTTCAGGGCAGGAGTTTAGTTTCCCTCCAGCGTCCACTGAGTCCAGGGACTGTGATGCCGAGATGAGGTCCCCCGAGTCATAGTTTTTGAAATCCAGTCTGTGAGTTCACGGTGAGAGCCCTGTATTGTCAGCACCTTCTTGCCCTGTGGGCAGACCTATATGGGGACCCAAATCCTAAGTGGATGACTGCTTAGTGAGTGTTTATTTTCAGTAGACCAAGACAGTGTGCACATCTTCCAGTAGAATTGCCCGTGCAGATGACCCCATGAAGGAGCTAGGAGCCATTCCATTACACCTCTGTTAGCTTCCTGCCTAAAGATTTCAATTTCCTCCATCTGTGCCCACTCACTTTTAGTCCTTCATTTTGCTGAACAGAGTTAGTTATCTGTCCAGGTAGAAGTGCTCTGGATCCCAAATGCTCCTCCCCTTTCTGAAACTGGGGACGAGGCACTGTGAGTGGTGCGTGCTGAGTCCATACAGGGAGGGTGCAGTGTCTGTGGAAGTTTTAGAGTATGGGGGAGGTGGCTCAGCAGTTAAGTGGCCGCTCTTTCATAGGACCCAGGTTCGATTCCCAGCACCCACATGACAGCTCACAGTGCTCTGTAACTCCAGTGCCAGGGTATCCAACACCCTCTTCTGGCCTCTGTGGGCGCTGAATGGACATGGTGTACAAACATACAAGCAGGCAAAACACCTCTACACACACAAAAATTAATTTTAAAGAGAAGAAAAGTTGACAAAGCAGTAACACTGAGAGAAAGTGGGCCCGCTTCTTCCTACCACCTTGTGGAGCAGTTCTGACTGACGGTGGCACAGTGCTGCCCCTGCAGAGGCTGACAGCTGTGCTGCCCAAGCACCTCTGCAGGCGCCTCCCTCCCAGCCGGTTCTTCTGGAGCCCTTCATCATGCACACTGCTGTCCTGTTAAAAAGCAGCCCTGCTGGCCGGGCAGTGGTGGCACACGCCTTTAATCCCAGCACTTGGGAGGCAGAGCCAGGCGGATCTCTGTGAGTTCGAGGCCAGCCTGGTCTCCAAAGCGAGATCCAGGAAAGGCGCAAAGCTGCACAGAGAAACCCTGTCTTGAAAAACCAAAAAAAAAAGGCAGCAGCCGCCTTCCCTTTGCACTAGCCACACCCACCTCCCCCCCTCTGCCCTCAGGGCACTCCTCAGCCCACACCAGCACCTGAAGCTCCCACCACCAAACTGATTAGTGTTCGCACTCACTTCTCAGTCTCTCTCTCCTCTCCTCTCCTGAGTCTCTCTGTGTAGCTCTGTAGACAGGCTAGCCTGGAACTCAGAGAGATCCACCTGTGTCTGGAGCTCTGGGACTGAAGGTGTGCCTGCAGTCTTCTAAACTCTTCTTTTTTTTTTTTTTTTGGTTTTTCGAGACAGGGTTTCTCTGTGTAGCTTTGTGCCTCTCCTGGGACTCACTTGGTAGCCCAGGCTGGCCTCGAACTCACGGAGATCCGCCTGACTCTGCCTCCCGAGTGCTGGGATTAAAGGCGTGCGCCACCACCACCCGGCTCTAAACTCTTCTTGTTGACAGTCTAGACTCACCTAGAAAGAAGGTCTCGAGGGATTGTCTAGATCAGGCTGGCCTGTGGGCATGTCTGTGGAGGATTGACTACTTAAAAATACTAATTTCTTGTTGCTCCTCATTGATATTCTTGCTAACTTAATCTTGCATTAAATATTGTTTTTTCCCTCCTTTTTGAGACAAGGTCTCTCTGGGTAGCTCTGGCTGTTCTGGAACTTGATATGTAGACCAAGCTGGCCTAAACTCACAGGATGCCTCTGCCTCCCCAGTGCTGGGATTAAAGTTGTATACCGTCACAGCTGGCAAACGTTGGATACTTACAATAAGGCCCCACACCTTAACTTCTTCCAGTCAGTAGGTTGGAGGTACATAAATTGCAGGCCCAGTCTGGATTTCTGATTTAATAGGTTTAGGATGGAATCTGAAAGTTTGCATTAGATTTCCAGCTAATGCTTAGGTTGCTGGTCCAGCAACCAGATTTTGAGAACAATGGACTCTTACTGTGGCTTCATCATTGGAATACTGGCAACTCCTACATGCAGATCTACAACCCAGAGCCTTCCAGTAGCCCTGGTCCATAGACCCAACTGTGTACTCTTGTGTTCCTCTTCCTCCTCTTTTTGAGACTGGAATTCACTATGTAGACCAGGCCAGCCTCGAACTCATAGAGATTCCCCTGCCTCTGTCTCTTTATATATATAATCCACTTAAAGTCACTTCTATTTCAACTTTTTCAAATTAATTAAATTGATGACTTCCGAATATTACCCTTACAATACCACCAATTCAACCCCCCCCCCCCACACACATACACTGGTTTTGTTAATTTGACAAATTGTCTGCATCAGGTTGGCCGTGTGGGCAAGTCTGTGGGGATTATCTTGATTGTGTTCATTGATGAGGGAGGAGCCAACCCCTGTGGACGACACCATTCCTTGTGTTTGGTCCTGGCTATACAAGGGTAGGAAACTTGAGCTAAATGTTAGACACTTTCATGCGTTCATTCTCTCTCTGCTGTTGACTGTGGACGTGATTAGCTATCTCACATTCCTTCCTTCATTTCCTTCC